ACTACACTGGATATGAATTCCCAAATAGGAAAAAGAAGTACTAGTAATAGTACCTGTCTCTAGATTCATTGTTTTGATTAAGTGATTAATGAATATGACATATGAAAGAATTAAGTAATGATTAGCTATCATTATTAATTTATAGTTTAAAAAAGTAGATATCCCAGAAGATTCCCTATATTAGATGATTCCGATGCTCATTTACGAAATTTATATTTTTATTTTACTTCTTGCATTATATATGAGGCTAGGTCAACAAGCCAAAGTTGTGTGTTTGCTTGTTTATTTAATGCTGGGCATTTAGAAGAAATTTTCAACGAAGGTACACCAATCAATTTAACTTTAAAGCCAAGTATCAAACTTACCTCCTGTAAAAAACGTTCCTCAACTTTTCAAACAGAATGAATCGTTTTTGATTTTGTGCCTCCATCACACACAATTTTCTTGTTAGTCTAACGATTATAGAGGTAATCACCCCCAAAGAAACACAATATGATGTCTTGTCTCTGTAAGCTAATTGAGATGAGAAAAAGTGTTTTATTGGTATTTAAATATCAAGCAACTAAAAGAATGAATGTCTGTGCAAAAGTGAGTCTAGCCATATGTGTGTTATTGACATCCCGTTCTCTAGAGGTGTTTCCACAGAAGCTGAGTACATTGCCTCCTATATATTAAAGCTCATCTTTGGAGCCTGACTATGCAGATTTATACCCTGGCAGTGTCTCTTCCTTGTTATGTTCTTGAACAAATTTAACCTCTGGCATTTCAATTTCCTCATCTGTAAAATGAGGAGAGTAATAATACATAGAATTGCTTTGAAGATTAAGACCATTAGGAGCAGTAATTGATGGCGTGAGTTCTAAATACAAGCTTGCTATTTCCCAGAGGCTCTGGAGATGGAATTTCTGCCTGTGTGGGCCATTTTGTTTCATATTTGGCAAGAATCTTAGAAACCATTAAGTGTATGTTTATATGAAAAATTTTTGGCTTGGGTGAACTTCTAACCTTTTAATTGTTTATTGTCACAAAACAATTCTGTGGAAATGAGCGAATTTCTATTTCCAGTTCATGGATGACCATTACAACTGCATGACTGCACTAGCTCTTGTTTAAAGGACAGGAGGCCTTCAGAGTGGCGCTGAGAAAAGTATTTCTCATTTCCTTGTGAGATTATATATAACATAGTAGAGTGAAAAAAATAGGGTGACATAATATGTAAACAACTTCAACATTTAATATGCAAAACTGAATTATAGAAGGCAAGGGCTAAGGAATACTTTTTTGAACTTTGATATGGAAATGATACATATTTTAAGCTAAATTATCCTTATTTATGGAAAACAACATGTGGAGAAATACACCACTATGATTTTCTTTCTCTCTCTTTCTTTCTTTTTCTCTTTCTTTTTCTTTCTCTTTCTTCCTTCCTTCCTTCCTTCCTTCCTTCCTTTCTTTCCTTCTTTCTTTCTTTTTCTCTCTCTCTCTTTTTGAGGGAGTCTCTGTTGCCTGAGTGCAGTGGCATGACCTTGGCTCACTGCAACCTTCACCTGCTGAGCTCAAGCTCTTCTCCTGTCTCAGCCTCCCAAGTAGCTGGGATTACAGGCACATGCCACCACGCCCTGCTAATTTTTATATTTTTGGTAGAGATGGGGTTTCGTCATGTTGGCCAGGCTGGTCTTGAACTCCTGACCTCATGTTATCTGCCCTCCTCGGACTCCCAAAGTGCTGGGATTACAGGCGTGAGCCACTGTGCCCTGCCACCGCGTGAATTTCTGTATTTCCCATGATGCAGACCGGGATAGAATTATCTTTAATTTCATTCAAATAGGAATCGTGTTACTTAAAATATATTACATCTTGTTAAAACCTTTCCTGTGATAGGAAACCACCTTCACCATCTGGTGATCCCACACCACCCCTGGAGGAGCACTCACTGTGATGTGCAGAAAATGCATGGGACGTGGAGACGGAAGCGGCTGGGCTTCTTATAAAACATACCAAGCATCTTTCCGTGCCTTTCCAACTCCAGAGATGGTTTAATTAGAGTAACTCAGATATCTTGGTTTCTATTATGTGGACACACAGAAGAGACTCTGGAGCTAGTGTCCACACGCTCTGTAGGAGCACGTGGAGCCCAGCGTCAGTCCCTGTCTCACCTACAAGGCAGCAATGGGCGCGACTTCTGTGGCAACGCTCCTTGCTTCCTCCCTTTCCCTTTCTCCCTTAGCATCAGAGTAAAGGTAATGCTCTAAAGGAGAAGGCATGGCTGCAGGGTCTTTAACCAGAGACTCTCTCCATGTCAATACTAATTAGGTAAAACCAACTCTGGAAGAGAGAAATGCCTGATGTGTCTGAAGCATAACCTTTCCAGGGTTGTGGGCCAGAGTGATCAGTGTTGCAAGCAGGAGAACACAAGGCGGGGAGCATCTTGACCTCCTTAGCAGGAGCCAATAAAAGCTCCATAGCAGGCTGGGCATAGTGGACCACGCCTGTAATCACAGCACTTTGGGAAGCCGAGGCAGGCAGATAACCTGAGGTCAGGAGTTCGAGACCAGCCTGGCTAACATGGTAAAACCCCGTCTCCACTAAAAATACAAAAACTTAGCTGAGTGTGGCAGCAGGAGCCTGTAGTCTCAATTACTCGGGAGACCGAGGCAGGAGAATTTCCAGAACCTGGGAAGTGAAGGTTGCAGTGAGCCGAGATGGCACCATTGCACTCCTGCCTGGGTGAAAGAGCAAGGCTCCATCTCAAAAAAAAAAAAAAAAAAAAAAAAAAAAAAGATCCTTAGCAATTTGCTTACCTATACTAGTAGTATATTATAGCTTCCTAACACTTTAGCACCATATTGCATTCAGGCCTCACAGTAAGAACCTTGTGAATAAGTCAGGACTAGTATTGTCATGCTTATTTTGCAGACATAAAATGTGACTTGCCTAAGGTCGCAAAGCTGAAAGATGTCCAAATGGAACCCATGTCTTGGTCTCTTGACTCTCAGGTTAGAGATTTCTGTACCATATTCAACTCTAAGAATGTCTTTCTGGTTATCCCTTAAAACTTAAACACAGGCCAGGCACGGTGGATCATGCCTATAATTCCAGCAGTTTTGGGGGTTGAGGAAGGTGGATCACCTGAAGTCAGGTGTTCAAGACCAGCCTGGCCAACAGGGTGAAACCCTCTCTTTACTAAAAATACAAAAATTAGCCAGTGTGGTGGTGGCAAGCACCTGTAATTACCAGCTACTCAGGAGACTGAAGCAGGAGAATCGCTTGAACCCAGGAGGCAGAGGTCGCAGTGAGCTGAGATTGCACCACTGTACTCCAGCCTGGGTGACAGAGCAAGACTCCGTCTTGGAAAAACCAAAAACCAAAACAAAACTTACATGCATGTGCACACACATATATGTATTTGGCAGGTATATGTGCATGGTGCATATATACTTTTTCATTATAAAATTATATGTCCTCATTGCAGAAACATGGACAGGAGCATAAAGAAGAAAATGTGTCTTGCCTGATAAATACTGCTATCATTTACGTTTGGTGGAATCTAGTGAAAGTTTGCTGTAAGCAGGAAGACTTCACTTGATTTCACTGAGTTAGGGTGTATTTACGAAACAATATTAAAATAGTTTTTAGAAGTTTGGCTTTTAGTAGTGTATGGCTACATTTCCTTCCCCAAACCTACTTCAGTATACTCATTTAAATTCCTGTGTACTTAAAAGAGCTCAGAGCTTCTTCAGGGCTGAGGTTTTCACAAATTCAAAGTGCTTGCTAATTCCACACCCATGAGACCATGGTGCCTTTTCCCTCCATCTCATCTTCTATAACGTATCTGATTGCTGGCTGACCATTTACAATCTCATGAGTTCCTGCCCAGTCAACTCACTTCCTCTCCTTTCCCTTCCAAAATTATTTTTTCCTCCACCTTAGTTTACTCTAAATAGAGCAAAAAGAAAAAAAGATGAGAGTCATCAAAAATTTTTTCTCCCACTGTTAACCAACTAATTGTGTGACCATCGGTAAGTTATTTCACCCTTCTGTGCCTCAATGCGGTCAGCTCTAAAATGAGAGCTTAGCTTTGATAATCTGTAAATTTCTCTCAAGCTGTAGCTTTTTAGGGTTCCATTATTAAACATGTTCATGCCAGAGTGTGAGTGCCCATAATCTGGATCTTGTAGAAGTTTTATTTCAAAAGTGAACGCTTCTTGTTAGCTCAGGTTAATTTATTCATACATTCATTCATTCTTTTATATATTTATTTAACATATATTTGCTAAGTATCTGCTAAAAGCTGGAATGTGGCTGGCTGCGGTGGCTCAAGCCTGTAATTCCAGAACATTAGGAGGACAAATCGTATCTTTCATATGGAATCACAGGCATGAGCCACCACACCTGGCTGCATCCCAGCACCTTGGGAGGGATGCTGTAATCCCAGCACTTTTGGGAGGCCAAACTGCTGGGATTATCATATATTCCAATGATAAGATACAGACATAACTTGAGCTCAGGAGCTCAAGACCAGCCTGGGCAACATAGCAAGACCCTGTCTCTGCAAAAAATACAAAAATTGGCCAAGCATGTTGGGGCACAGCTGTAGTCTCAGCTACTTAGGAAGCTGAGGTGGAAGGATCACTTAGGTTTGGGAGATCAGGGCTGCATGAGCTGAGATCATGCCACTGCACTCCAGCCTGGGTGATAGAGTGAGAGCTTGTCTCAAAAAAAAAAAAAAAAAAAAAAAGCTGGGATGCATAAATCTGGTAAACAATATAAATGTCTTTGACTTCAAGAAGCTTATCATGTAAAAACAACAACAACAAAAAGATAATAAAAAAAGAAGCTTATCATGTGATGAGAATACAGACAAGTAAACAGGTAATTACGAAATAATCTCACATTAACATACGGAAAGTATAGGAGTCTATTAGCTCTGCTGAAAGCAGTTTAGAGTTGGTCTCATCCAAAGAAAGATTTGATTATGGTTATAAATCAAGCAAGATTTATTATAACTTATTCATTTTTATTTATTGAAGCTCATCATTTTATTCCAATGATAAGATACACATTATAAAACTTCTATAATTTTTAATATTTACACATAATTACCTTTTGTTGTTTTCCTATAAGAAATGCACAGACATTTTGAGGTCTTTTGTAGTGCATTATCGATAAAGCATTATTATGTCTATGCTATGATAAAATGTGCTCTTGTTGGGTTACATTAACCTTCCTTCAAAAGGGATTTCTGGGTTGTAGTTCTTACAGTCTTTAGGAAATTCATTAAATCAGTGCCTCCAGTTCCTTTGTTTCCCTGTTCTGAAGGCTCTTGGGAGGTCTTGTCCTTTGATTTCTGACTTGCAGGAATCAGGATGTACTTAGTTACAATTTGCAGATGGTAGTTCCTCAGATTGACCAAAGCTTTCACACAGGCATCATAAGCTTCCCGCAGGTCAGCATCACCTTTTAAAAGGACAAACTCACGGACTGAGGGCTTTGACTCTAATGAGCACAGGAAGTTCCTGTGAGCTGGTGGCATATACATTCTCATGTCCTGGAGGAACTGAGCAGCAGATCCTATAGGAACAAGAGAAAGACGAGGAAATGTGAGGGTCACGGCATTCCCCAATCCAGGAGAGAAAGGCGGAGTCAGGTCAGAGTGGACAGGAGATCACCAACACAGCAGTCACTGAGGTCAAGGTCATTCGATTTGAAGGCTAATGTTTGGCTGTTAGTCTTGCTACTATAGCAATCATAATTGTTGTAAAATATTAATTTTGAAAACTGGATGAACTGAATTCATTTTCCCACAATAAGTATTTTTGTTTGCACTTGCTTTTCTTTTCTTTCTTTTTTTATATTTTTGAGACAGAGGTTCGCTCTTGTTGCCCAGGCTGGAGTGCAATGGCACAATCTCAGCTCACCACAACCTCTACCTCCCCAGTTCAAGCAATTCTCCTGCCTCTGCCTCCTGAGTAGCTGGGATTACAGGCATGCGCCACCACACCTGGCTAATTTTGTATTTTTAGTAGAGACTGGGGTTTCTCCATGTTAATTAGGCTGGTCTCGAACTCCTGACCTCAGGTGATCTGCCAGCATCAGCCTCCCAAAGCGCTGGGATTACAGGCGTGAGCTACTGCGCCCAGCCTTTGTTTGCACTTTCTTCCTCACTTTTCTATTGTAAGAAGCTGATGTTATAGACAAGGGCATATATAATCTACATTTGACAGATCATGACTGAGTCTTAAGAGAGTTTAAGAGATTGTGTTTAAATGAGTGTTCAGTAATAGCAAAGATATGGAATGAACCCAGGTTTCCATCACTGGTGGATGGGACAAAGAAAGTGTGGTACATGTACACCATGGAATACTAAACAGCCATGAAAAAGAATGAAATTATGGGCTTTACAGCAACATGGATGCAGCTGGAGGCCAGTAGCTTAAGTTAGCCTAAACGAATTAATGCAGAAACAGCAAAGCAAGTATCACATGTTCTCACTGATAAGTGGGAGCTAAATATTGAGTACACATGGACACAAAGATGGGAACAATAGATATTAAGGATTTCAAATAGGGGAGGGAGGGAGGAAAAACTACCTATCAGATACTATGTTCTATACTTGGGTGAGGGGATCATTAGAAGCCCAAACATCAGCATCACTCGGTATACCTTTGTAACAAACCTGCACATGTATCCCCTGAATCTAAAATACAAAATTAAATATGATGAAAAAAGTTAAAAATAAGTGCTCAAGTTAAGAAAAACCCGTTTGGGCCAGGTGCGGTGGCTCACACCTGTGATCCCAGCACTTTGGGAGGCCGAGGTGGGTGGATCACGAGGTCAGGAGTTTGAGACCAGCCTGACCAATGTGGTAAAACCCTCTCTCTACTAAAAAGACAAAAATTAGCCAGGCATGATGGTATACGCCCGTAATCAATCCCAGCTACTCGGGAGGCTGAGGCAGGGCAATCGCTTGAACTTGGGAAACAGAGGTTGTGGTGAGCTGAGATCATACCACTGCACTCTAGCCTGGGTGACAGAGTGAGACTCCATCTCAAAAAAAAAAAAAAAAGAAAGAAAAATACTTGTTTTTACCTAGCCTGATGCTTTCCCTTTTTACTATTAAACAGTAGTTTAACAAAAGAGAGAAAATTAGAAAGAAGTTCTTTTTGGAGCTTATTCCTCTCCTCCAGCCCTTAGAAGGCATATAATGAATGTGGCACATTTTTAAACTTTGGTGCAGGCATTGCTCTGGGTGGCTGGGGCCACAAGACAGCTGAACAAGAGCAAGGCCCAGTCCCTGCTTGCCACTGAGGTCTTTAGCTCCCCTTAACAGCCCTGTCTCATTTGATCAGACTGTCTCTTTCTGAATCTGATCATCCATTTTCTGAACATGTGATATTGACTTCACCAGAGTCAACCAGTCTTTATATACAGGTTCAGATATCAAGATGAAGCTTGGGTGTTAGGAAAGCTCTGCCACTTTCTTTATTTTTTATTTTTATTTTGAGACAGAGTTTCACTCTTTCGCCGCTGGAGTGAAGTGGTGTAATCTCGGCTCACTGCAACCTCTGCCCACCCGGTTTAAGCGAGCCTCCTGAGTAGCTGGGATTACAGGAGGCACCACCATGCCTAGCTAGTTTTTGTACTTTTAGTAGAGATGAGGTTTCACTGTGTAGGCCAGGCTGGTCTTGAATTCCTGACCTCAGGTGATCCATCTGCCTTGGCCTCCCAAAGTGCTAGGATTGCAAGCTTGAGTCACCGTGCCCAGCCAGCTCTGCCACTTCCTAGCTGGTTCAGAAGGAACCAGTCACTGTCCCTCATAAAGTTTATGCATCTTCATCTTTAAAATGGGATGATGGCAACCAAATCCCTACTTGCCTGATTCTGCTAAAACCATCAGATAAGCTCAGGTGAGATGCTGATGGGAAGGTGCTTTGTAGATATCCAAAAACAATTGTGTTCACATAAGAGATGATTATTTCTTGTTATTTTCCACTCACCTCCACTGGCCCTCTGCGGGATGCCCAGGAGGACATCAAAGCACTGGAAGATGCTGCTTTGGCCTGCACTGCCCCCTGAAAACTGCTTTGCATCTTTCCAGAACCCGTCATACATCAGACCTTCTGATAGCTGGGGGTTGCCTTTCCAGCTGTCAGAGGAAAGAAAGAAAGAAAGAAAAATCATTTAGATTAATTGCTAATTTTTAGATATCAAATCTTGCACTAGCGGTGAATAGAAGGTGACAAGAGATGGATTTCATGATCCTTCTTTCAAGCCCCTTTCCCCTGCTCATTTCCATGCATGAGAATAATAAGTAATATAATCCTGAGCAAATTTGGCATAAATATTCTAGGAATGGAACCTTACCTTGGCACCAGCATAGATCATTCCACTCTTTTTAAAATGACTAGCTTTCCTGTTTTCCCTCTTCACCCCCCTGCTGTACATTCCTGGCCAAGTAATAACTGAGAGAACAGTCTAGTCTTTTTCTACCACATGAATTTTTGGATATAAATTGTTAGCCAAACCCAATGGATATTAGGAACCATCCAAGGGAATTGGTGGTGTTCTTTGTTAAGTGAGAGCAAACCAATTCAAATGTAAGACTACATACCCAGACAAATATATGCGAAGAACATTGAAAAATACTTGCGGGTCCACGTGCTCTGTAAAAAGATGGAATGTGTTTAATTAAGCAGCATAAGAAGTATACAGGGAAATCAAGATGTTGTGTACAACTGATAGTGGATTTCCACAGAGGCTGCAGGAAAGGCATTAGGTCAGTACGTGCAAAACAAAACCCCTGCAGATAAGTGTTCACTTTCCTGCCCTCTTCCAGGAGGCCAGTTAAACTTTAAATATTTATTTTGCACTACTTTACGTGCTTACTGATGCAACAGATAAACTGTTTACATAGAGAAAGAAACAAACCAAAGACAAAATACAGACCAAACCAAAACAAAAACCCAGAAACTAGATCTATTTTTAAAATTTTAAAAAATTGTTTGGAGACAGGATCTCACTTCAGCACTTAGGCTAGAATGTAATGACCAAAGCTCACTGCAGCCCCAACTCCTGGGCTCCAGCAATCTTCCCACCTCAGTCTCCCAAGTAGCTGAACTATAGGTATGAGCCACCGCCCTCAGCCTCCTACCCTACTTGATTTGAAAATCTAGCTTCTTGCCCAGGACCAAACAGCAATTACTCAAAACCCAGAGATAAACAATCAGATTGGTTGCGTCTGCTCGGTAGGGCAGATTTCCTATCGCAAGTTACTGCTTATGCACTTTTTTTGTGTGTTCTTTTGGGGGTAGTTTTTTAGCTGTTAATTTCACAACAAGTTTTCAGCTCAATGAAAAACTTCTCCCCCCTCCACTGGCAGTACCTTCCTGGCCAAGTAATAACAGACAGAACAGAAAGCTGACTTTTCTGAGTTGTTTCTTAATTTGTGAAAAAGCAGAATTAGGAAAGTGTTCTTATCAAGCAGAAGCTATGTTTTTTCGGAACTCAGCCACTTTTTCCAAGGTTTTTAGTGGGAGGTGAGGAAGTTCCTTAAATAGGCCAGCCTGGAACTCTGGCTTCACTATTTACTGCCTGTGGAATCTGAAGTCATTCACCCTGTCTTTCTCAATTTAGATTACCTTACTTGTAAAATGGAGGTAATAAAACCTACCACGTAGAAAGTGTAATGGCTTAGTACGATGAAATAGCTAAAGTGAAAACATGCTAAGTGATGTTTCCTTTTTGCTTCCCTTTTCAACTATTTTACACTTGGAACATTTGACTTGTCAGGCTAGACTGTTGCACGGCATACAACACTTGCCATGGATTTGGTGAAACACTTGAAGCGCTTTCTCCAGGCAACAAGCTATTTTCAACAGTGCCTTTCGCAAAGTGTCTAGTTCTTGCATTCGCATTGCCTTGAATATAGTAGGAATTTCCTAAAAAAAAACAGACAAGCATTTAAGGTTTCTAAAGCTAAACATTGACATAGAACAAAATTCTTCCATCTTTGTCTTTTTTTTTTTTTTTTTCTTTTTAGCAGAGTCTTGCTCTGTTGCCCAAGCTAGAGTGCAATGGCACCATCTCAGCTCACTTCAACCTCTGTTTCCCCAGGCTCAAACGATTCTTGTGCCTCAGCCTCCGAGTAGCTGGGATTTTACAGGTGCATGCCAACAAGCTCGGTTAATTTTTATATTTTTAGTTAAGAGACGGGGTTTCACCACGTTGGCCAGGCTGGTCTCCAACGCCTCATTTAAGTGACCTGCCCATCTCAGCCTCCCAAAGTGGTAGAATTATAGGTGTAAGCCACCATACCTGGGCAAATTCTCCGGTCTTAATCCATAAACTAAATTTGGGATTTTTACATTTCTTTCCTGGGCTGGACACGCTATTTGACTAATTTCCTTATATTTCTAGAAGCTTGGATTTGTTTTTATTCACATAGCATTTAATTTAGAGGTGTTGATATAGTTGTATATGTTTCATTTCTATTTTTGATAATCAAAACTATTGAATTTATGACACTGTGTATCATAGTTCCAAATCCAGATTTCATTGAAAATTTTTATTTCCTACAGAGGTTTCAAGTTGGACTTTATATGGCTCTGAGATTTTATATTTTAGGTAATACACAAATATAAATAATTGATCCTCTATTCACAATTAAATGATCCCATGTTGTATTTATTAAGGATAAAGTTAACTCATGCTTAGTATAGTTTAGGCTCCTAAGTGATTGCTCTGCTTATGTAAATTGATGTGTAAACTTTGAAGTGAGGATAGACATACTTTGATTGCAGAAGCAGCTTCTATTTCCACCAATAGAGAGACCAGGAAGAATCCTTTACTGCAGTCTGTGTGACGAAATGAGAACAAAACATCCATGTTCCTAAGGAAATCAGATAAGGAAGGCAAGAAATTTAGCAAAAATGGTTTTTGACATTTTAATTTATTCTATTTTATTTTCAAAATAATTTTACGAGAGAGGTGTGGCAGGCCTTACTATCTCCATTATGTAGTTGAGAATATTAAGACTCAGTTGTTAGGCCCATTGTCTAAGATCATATAATTAATAGTAAATAGACTAAATTGAGACCTAAAATTTCATATTAGAACTCAGAACTATGTCTGGGCATGGTGGCTCACACTTTGGGAGGCCGAGGTGGATGGATCACCCGAGGTCAGGAGTTTGAGACCAGTTTGGCCAATGTGCTGAAACCCCATGTCTGTTTAGAATACAAAAATTAGCTGGGCATGGTGGTGGACCCCTGTAATCCCAGTTACACAGGAGGCTAAGGCAGGAGAATCAGTTGAACCCGGGAGGCAGAGGTTGCAATGAGCCAAGATCGCTCCATTGCATTCCAGCCTGGGCATCAAGAGCGAGATTCCATCTCAAAAACAAAAAACAAAAAACACTCAGACCTAGAAATTCTCAAACTAGTTCTGTTTCTATAATCCTGTTAACTTTTCACAGGCGTTTATATTACCATACATATATATTCAATGTTTACAGAGACATCTGTGAGGTCGAATTTTAAGAGGTAGTCTTTTGTTTAAATAATTACATTCATATTCATATTTTAATTTGTGAGCCTAATTCAGTTTCTCAGTGGTTTACCTACTTTACAAAGGCGTTCACTGCGAAATTCAAATAACTAATTAGACCCTGTTTTTCTCTTCAGTTGAAGTTTTGACATTGGCGAAAACATGATCTTAGTATCTGTATATCTATGAGTTTTGTGGTGGTTAAATTCATGGTATCTGAAGCCAGACCACCTCTGCAACTTACTTGCTGTGTAACCTTGAGCAAGGTACGACATCATCTGCCTTGGTGTTCTCATCTGTAAAATGGGACTGACTGCTAATATCATCCTCCTGTTTAAAAGCCTTCCAGTTTCTCCCTTATCTTAAGATTCTGTTTTAACTCCTTATCATAGCTAATAAAATCCTACATAATCTTATTTTTTTTGAGACGGAGTCTTGCTCTGTCGCCCAGGCTGGTGTGCAATGGCACGATCTTGGCTCACTGCCACCTCTGCCTTCCGAGTTCAAGCGATTCTCCTGCCTCAGCCTCCTGAGTAGCTGGGATTACAGGCGTGTGCCACCATGTTCCGCTAATTTTGTATTTTTAGTGGAGGAGGGGTTTCGCCATGTTGGCCAGGCTGGTCTCGAACACCTGACCTCAGGTGATCCAACCGCCTTAGCCTCACACAGTGCTGGGATTATAGGCATGAGCCACTGCGCCCAGCCATCTTTTTAAAAAAATTATTAATCCTTTTCTCACACTGTTATTTTTATTATTTATTATCAGTAACATTAGCCATCCTTCAGCTTTGATAATGCACCAAGATATTTGACATTGAAGGCCTCATTTTTGTTGTTTCTTTTGCTATGAATACCCGTACCTTTTTCCTCTAGCTAATTCCTAACTCAGTCTTCAGGACTCAAATAACTTGCTTCAAGGGTTCCCCCATTACCCCTTTTATTTGGTTGGGGATCCCAATACTTTATCTTCTTACACCTTCTCTTAGTCATATGGCAGTTTACACAATTTTATACACTGCCTTTCCCTCTGTCAGTCTAGCTTCACCAAGGCGAGTTTATACTGATGATATTTACCTTAGTTTTCCCATCTCTTAGCCTATGTTTAGTATATATTATAGGTCAGAAGTAGTAAGGATTGAGTCAAAAAGAAATTAGCGTATGGTTACTTATAGACACCGGTAACTAGTTATGGACTAGGAGTTATTAAGTCATAGATACACAGATGTATGTGCACTTTGTATGTTTGCATAATAATCTATAGATGTATTTGAGCAGCATTCTTGTATATATCTATAGTTATAATATCAAATAGACATAGTTGTAACACAATCATAGATATAATTAAAGGCTGAGATTGTTTGTTCTCTAAATAATCACTTAAATTATTTTTTGCCTCAATTCAGTTAATCATATAAAAAATGTGTTTGTCTTTATTGATAAACCCACATTCAGCTATAAATAACAAATAATTCTTAGAATAAAACAAGAATCAGATACTTACTCATAAGTCAGGGGCCTTATGAAAGCAGCCATGAAGCAATGGGCCAATTGGAAGAGAGAAAGAAAATCAACTTAACATCAAATAATGATGAGTTGTGGCTATTTGATTGACTACTACTGATCTATCAGTGGTAAGACATAGATAGGTAAAAAGAAAAACTTTTAAAAAATATTTCTTCAGTAGACATTACAAACGTTTAACTTAATAACTTACAAATGAATTAAATAATTAAATATGCAAAGAACTCACATGGATAGTCAAAACTAATTGTTTTATTTTTATTTTTTTTGAGACAGGGTCTCCCTCTGTCGCCCAGGCTGGAGCGCAGTGGTGTGAACACGGCTCACTGCAGCCTCAACTTCTTGGGCTCAAGCGATTGCCCTCACTTAACCCACTGTGTAGTTGGGACCACAGGTATATGCCATCATTCTTGGCTAACTTTTTTTTTTTTAACTAATTGTTAATAAGAAACTTGATAGCTCAAGTTCTTTCATTTTGTGATAATCCCATTTGCAGAATATTCTTCTACCAGCACATGCCCAGGGGCGTAGTCTTTGATTCTCCCTTCCTTTTACTGTAGCAGATCTCATGGCTAATGGGTAAAAATGGCCTGCATCCTGAGCAGACTGCTCTGAAAAACCAGTCACTGCTGCCTGTTGTTAAAGATGTGTTGACTCTTAACCACAACTGGCTTCTTAAAAATTAAACTGATAGAATCTCAAAAACCTGCTAATCAAAAGAAGCCAGACACAAGACTCTATGGTTTCATTGATATGAAACCCAATAACAAAAATCATTTAATTTTTGATAAAGCAAATAAGAATATATCTGTCTGTGGCAGGAAAGGGAATTGAAAGAAGCACAAAGCAATTTTCTGAGGTGATAAAAAGTATTCTGTATCTTGCTGAGAGTGGTGGGTATATGTATGTATACAATAGTCAGATTCAAGCTGGCCACTTAAGATTTGTGCATTTTGCTGTGTTAACTATACACCTCTCACTTGTGTACATTTGTAGTGGTAGACACAGCAGTCCAAGAAACCATACCCAGCAACAGGGAGGAAAACTGTGTTGCCCAAAATTAAGCCAGTAAGTAACTCCTGTTTTATTTAATTGGCGTGTACTCCTTAAATTCCTGTTGTTATCACCATTTACATACTTGTTAGGATCCTTTTTCTTCCAGTTTGCCAAGACACAGTCCGCATAAACCAGAATAGGAGGCAGCTGCAGCTTCTTGGAGAGTTGGCAGTAGGGAACAGCAATATTTTTTGGCAAGACCTGATTAAAATACAGTGGTTAGTTTTTTGTTTTGTTTTGTTCTGTTTTGTTTTGCTTTGAGATGGAGTCTTGCTCTTGTCACCCAAGCTGGAGTGCTGTGGTGGGATCTCAGCTTACTGCAATCTCCACCTCCCAGGTTCAAGCAATTCTCCCGCGTTCAAACGACTCTCCCACCTCAGCCTCCCAGGTAGCTGGGATTACAGACCCCTGCCACCACGCCCGGCTATTTTTTGTATTTTAGTAGAGAAGAGGTTTCCCCATGTTAGCCAGGCTGGTCTTGAACTCCTGACCCCAGGTGATCCATCCGCCTCAGCCTCTCAAAGTGCTGGGATTACAGGCGTGAGCCACCTCGCCCAGCCAGTAGTTACTTTAATTATTTACCTCTCATACCTTTTCTTTTGCTTTCTGTGTTGTATAAAATGACACTTTGAAACCAAACAAATGTAATTTTTTTCTTTCTCTTTTCATAATTTATACTGTTAAAGGTTCGTGTTTTGGATTAGAGAGGTAAAAGAGGTAGAAAGCCAGAAGAATAAAGCCTGCATCTTGGTGTTTCTAATGGCCTTGGGACCTATTTCCAGTCAATCATTTATCCATCCTTCCCATGAATAATTGTTAAGCAATTTTTTCAATGCAAGATGCCACATTATCAGCTGCCAATAGATAGATAAAAGCAATGGCCTCAAAGATGCTTGAAGTCTTTGTAATTTTAGATATGATACACACTATGAGTATAAACAGATTGCTGCTCTTGGAGCACAGTGCTAAAAGACATTTTCTGCTGGATGATTCTTATTATTATCTGAAATCTTCACCATGGAATGACATTGGTGCTCGGCTTCCAAACCTAGCTTCTGCTGGAAGGAGGAATCTCCTTTCCTCTTGCTTTATATTTCCATGTGGAGATACATCAGTTGGGATGACACTTGTCAGTGCTCTCACTCAGCCTTCCTAGGGGAGGTATAGAAGCTGATCTATTTGTTGAGTTTGGTAGAGAAACTACAGCTCTGCCCCTTTTTCTCCTCAGCTCTTCTTTCCCTGACCTGAGCCCGTGACTTGTAGCATTCTGTTCTGTTTGGACACACAATGGAAGGCTCCTATATAAAACACCAACTACTTTTTTTTTTTTTTTTTTTTTTTTTGAGACGGAGTTTTGCTCTTGTTACCCAGGCTGGAGTGCAATGGCGCGATCTCGGCTCACCGCAACCTCCGCCTCCTGGGTTCAGGCAATTCTCCTGCCTCAGCCTCCTGAGTAGCTGGGATTACAGGCACACGCCACCATGCCCAGCTAATTTTTTGTATTTTTAGTAGAGACAGGGTTTCACCATTTTGACCAGGATGGTCTCGATCTCTTGACCTCGTGATCCACCCGCCTCGGCCTCCCAAAGTGCTGGGATTACAGGCGTGAGCCACCACACCCGGCCAACACCAACTACTTTTGACAAAAAAAAAACAAAAAACTTTCATTAAATGGTAGAAGCTGCCTCTGGAATCTATTTTATCCCTTTGTGTGTGTGTGTGTGTGGGGGGTGTTTTTTTAATGGATACAGTCTTGTTCTGTTGCCCAGGCTGGAGTGCAGTGGCACGATCCAATCCCAGCTCACTGTAACCTCTGCCTTCCAGGTTTAAGCCTCCCAAGTAGCTGGGATTACAGGCACACGCTAGCATATCTGGCTAATTTTTGTATTTTTAGTAGAGATAGGGTTTCACCATGTTGGCCAGACTGGTCTTGAACTCCTGCCTCAGTCTCCCAAAGTGATCCACCTGCCTTGGTCTCCCAAAGTGCTGGGATTACAGGGGTGAGCCACCATGCCTGGTCCATTTGTGTTTTAAAGGTTAGATATTGTAGTCTGTATTAGTTTTATGTAATTAGGGTTGACATTTAAAATACAGAATGAAAAATAAAGCAAAAGACTAAAAATATAATAATAATAACAGTTGACGTGTCAAACCAGGGTATATTTTTTCATTTTGTCGTGTCATCTAAACTTTGCACAATATAAATGCTTTTAGAAAATTTTTGTAAAGTTAAATGTAAATTAGATAAAAATCTGTCACACAGCATAAGAAATCTGAGAAAATCTCCAAACCTTCCGGACATCTCCACAACCTTGATCCCACACATATGCCATGGTGATGCATCCCAGAACTAGATGTGCAAGTCGCTGTGACTTGTGGTCTCTGAGATGATCAATGCTGAGCATGTCCAACTGAGGAAAAATAAAGCAAATGACTCAAATCAATCTCAGTAATGTTTCATGCTTCAAAACCAAGTTAACAATGTTAAGAAGCTATATAAGAAGACAAATGTAATACATATTTCAAACCTTCTCAACTCTTTCTCGAAGTTCCCCAGACTCAATGAGATCAGGCAGGTGTTTAGCAATGAACATCCAGTCATTATAAACATCAGGTAGGTTTTCCTAAAAAAAGAAAAAAAAAGATCTTTATTTATGAGTAACAGTTACTGTAGCTTCGGCTTCCCACTGATGGTCTGCCTTGCCTCCACATCCATTTTGTGCCATGTTGCCCTGGCACATGGCTTACCTGTCTGGAAATACCAGCCTCTGTCTTGTCACCTGCACATGCAGGGCTGAAGACCCTCTCTGTGTTCTACCTCTTCCTCTCTCTTCAAACACTACCATTTGCAGCTTTTCAAAGGTCACCTCAAAGGTTCTATTAAAATCCTTCCAATGAATCTATCTGACACTAATCTCCTCCATTATAAATTCTAGATTATGCCTTTTCATATTGCTAAACAATTATGATCTGATACTTTGATTTTTCTTTTCTTTTCTTTTCTTTTTTTTTGAGATGCAGTCTTACTCTGTTGCCCAGACTGGAGTGCAGTGGCATGATCTTGGCTCACTACAACCTCTGCCTCCTGGATTCAAGCATTTCTCCTGCTTCAGCCTCCTGAGTAGCGGGGATTACAGGCATGTGCCACCACGTCCAGCTATTTTTTTATTTTTAGTGAAGATGGGATTTTGCCATGTTGGACAAGCTGGTCTCGAACTCCTGACGTCAGGTGATTTGCCTGCCTTGGCGTCCCAAAGTGCTGGAATTTTTAATTTGCCTGCCTTGGCGTCCCTAAGTGCTGGGATGAGAGCCACCATGCCTTGCCTACTTTGGTTTTTCTTGGCTAGATTTTAAGTTTTTTGAATGGAAGAAAAATGAGATGTGTTAAATGTCAATAGTGGACTCTGTGCAATAATTTCATATATATATAATATATACATTTAATTCTTGTAATGACCCAAGAAGGTATCTCTGTATCATAAATAAGGAAAACTAGGCTTAGACGGTTTACATAACAAGTTTTGTATATTGAGTTTATTGTCAAGTTTCCAACTTTGAAAATCTATTCCCTTTTTATATTTTGCTACAAGGTGGCAAGAATTGTATTGTGCATTTAATTTCTATCTCTTACAAGCCCTGGCGTAGTGCTGGGCATATAGTGGGTGCTGTATGTATACATTGATTAGCTACTTTGGCTCCACTATAGGCTTGCTTTTGCCCACTAAGCAGAAATCAAACCCAAATAAAAGTTTCTTCCTGGATCTTATCATATTTACAATCTCATCTCAAAGGGAAGTATACAAATAAAAAGACATAGGAACATAGATCTTCCTGCAACATAGATCTCTGTTTCTATGCCTACTCCGCCAGCTATTTCCAAGGCACACCCTTAAGGTAATCAATGCTGAACCATGGGGATTAAGTAGAAATGGAAAGATTAACTCAAATCAACATGGGTGAAGTTTTAAGCTTCAAAATAAAGTTAATATTATAAGTAAGCTATAAAACAAGACGATAAAGATAATATAAAATCCTAACATTTTCAACATCTGTATGTAATTGTCCAGCCTTAATCAGTAGGGGCAGATTTTTAGCAGTGAAAATCTAGGCAGTGTACTTCACTAGAAAGCCGCCTTTTGTTCTGAACTTCTCACCCAACTGTGCTGTAGTGATTTCAGTAGTAAATGTAAGCTGGGCGCCATTTCTCAAGCCTTTAATCCTAGCACTTTGGGAGGTGGAAGTGAGTAGATCACCTGAGGTCAGGAGTTCGAGACCAGCCTGACCAATATGGAGAAAAATACTAAATTAGCTGGGTGTGGTGCACACATCTGTAATCCCAGCTACTTGGGAGGCTGAGACAGGAGAATCGCTTGAACCTGGGAGGCAGAGGTTGCCGTGAGCCAAGATCATGTCATTGCACTCCAGCCTGGGCAACAAGAGCAAAACTCCATCTCAAATAAAAAAAGAAAAAAGAAAAAAAAAGAAGGAAATGTAATAAATATATTTTTGTTGTTATTATTCTGTGCTTCACTGTGTAGCACATCTTATTTTTTTGGTTATTGTGATTTTCCGCAAACAACAGAAATACTTTTTTGTTCTGTACCATGATTAGCATTGTATTTGATAGCACTTTTGACATGCGTAAAATTTAATCAGTAATATGCTCTGGTTCAGAGAATCTCTAAAAGGTATAATATAAATTAATGAAGAATCATACTGAGATTCATTCAAATTCTGCTACATTAGAGAATGTGCCTTGTATCTATATGGAATCAGAAAACAGACTATTTGCATTTAAAGGTGTTCTCCAGTATATGTGGACTATAACTGCTTGAGCTACAATAAAAAATATACTTGTCTACAGAATTACTATAACACTTCATAGAAGTCTTTTCCTGAAATCCCATGTACCTTGTTAAATTGAAGATTAAAAGAAATTAAAAAAAAAAAAATCAATGCCTTATTATCCCTTCTTAAGAGAGGTAGTGTGGCATAATGGTTTAAAGATCCTGGACTCTGGAGCCAGACTGCTTAGGCTCATACTGGCCTCTAGTGCTTGCTAGCTACATGGTTTGATAATCACTTAAATTCTGCGTTCCTTATACTTCTCGTTAGGAGCATGAGAATAATAACATACATACCTAGCTGGGTACCATGGCTTTCACCTGTAATCCCAGCACTTTGGGGGGCTGAGGCAGGTAGAACACCTGAGGTCAGGAGGTCAAGACCAGCCTGGCCAACATGGTGAAACCCTGTCTCTACTAAAAATACAAAAAGTAACCGGGTGTGGTGGCAGATGTCTATAACCCCAGCCACTTGTGAGGCTGAGGCAGGAGAATTGCTTGAACCCGGGGGCGGAGGTGGCAGTGAGCCGAGATCATGCCACTGCAATCCAGCCTGGGTGATAGAATGAGACTCCATCTCAATAAATGAACAAATAAATAAATAACATACCTTTGGGGATGCCTATGAGAATGGAAAGGGTTAATTTGTAAATTGCTTAGAAAATGCTGTATTGGATGATTAAAATATTGATGATAAATTGGTTTGCATAGCATTTATTAGAAGACAGAATAGAAAATGCAGTTTTTAAGGCAAACCTTTTTTCCACATACCTTGCACTTTATAGGTAAAACTTGCAAACAAGAAAAAAGGTAGTTCAGACTCTCACTTGAATCTTATGCTCAGTAAATAACAAGCAATGATAATAGAACATGGAAAGTGCTTGTTGTGCAATCTCAGAAACTCCATCAAATTAGAAACACATGTTTTGTAAAATTTAAGGTATATCCCTAAAGAAAGGGATTTCTCTTTGGCTCATAGCCCATTTAAAACTTTGGCTATTTCAAAACACTCTTTCAAAATACAACTGTAATAACCTCACATTGTATTTTACTGTGTAATTCTTATGTAAAGCTGATATATTTTCTGTAGTTTCCTTATCTCTTCACTCTACATACCCATGGTACATAAGTAGAAAATGCATAGATGACTCCATTTCTAGGGAGAAAATTTAAAACAAATTGAGATGCAATTATTACAACTCTCTCTCATTTTCACACTGCTTTATATGTTTGTTTACTAGAAGTTACTGAACCACAGTTGTTCAGTAGAAGTTAACTGGCCAGGTAACTAATGAGAAGCAGAATACATTTCCCCACGTTAGTGCCTTTTCTTACCAATGGATTTGGCAGAGCGAAGCCCACTTCTCCATCAATATCATACTCTTCACTGATAGTGCAGAAATTTTCCATAGCATGTGCCATTCTTCTAGTCTGCTCCTCTGGTGCTCCTCAGTCTGAAGAGTTTTCAGGGCATCTGTTTAGTATAGCTGTTGCCATAACCAACGACCACAATTTATAGCAGAGGCAGTGAGTAATTACTTCCACTTTTGGAATGCTTTCATTTTCAAGTTTCTTTACTTGGAATATGAGAAACAATCAAACCACAAAAGCATATTTGTACATCATTTGCTGAAACTGAAAGTTCATATTCCATGTCAAATTCCATGTCAAATTTGTCATTAAGTACATCATTTTCTTACTGCTATATAAGAAGCCAGAAAGGCCTGATGGAAAACACAGAACTATGAAAACAGGTGCCTGGAGAAGCACATTTAACTTTACGGAAACTTGTAGATCTTTGAATGAAAAGAAAGGCTACAGTCCTAAACTCTCATTCACTTATTTCTCATTGGCTTTCTTTTAGGTTTCCATAGTTCTTTGAAAATATCATGTCATGTTTCAGTGGCCTAGAAACATAGCCTGTGATACACTGAACTGTTTGTCAATAGCTCTGAAGTAGGAAAGAAATAGAAGCACATGAAAAATTAGAAAGATAGTAGCTCTCCACTTCCCTATTTTTCCTACCTAGACTTTTGTTGGTTTTTCCAATAATAGCTTTTGCTCTTCTCACATTTCTAGCTGGTAACTTAGGAAGATTGCCCTGCATCTAACTGTACCTGACTGCCAGGAACTGATAAGGCAACAGTCTGGCATATTTTGGGTACTTTGTAATATGTCAAACGTTGGAGAAAAGGATAAAATACCTTGAAAATGTTTCTTTCAAAGTATGAATTAAGACCGCATTTGGTAAAGGTTTACAGTTTTCTTGCAAGTCTATGGCTACTTTAGAGGCATCGTTCGATCTTAGTGAGAACACGGAAGCTAAAGCAGAAACGCCCGTTCCTCTAGATCATCAAAAGGAGGAAAGGAAAATAGTTCCTGTAGTAAACTAAAAGACAATGCTGTTTTGTCATCAGTTTATTAGTACTTGAAATAAATTAAACTGTGATACATGGCTTGGGTTACAGTCTCGAACAGCTCTCAGGCTGTTCTCTACTACATGACTGCTGTTTCTTTCAATATGTAGTTTTACAGGAAAAGGTTCTTTGGATAGGAAACGTGAGGTAAACCAAAACAGAAATTACACAGCAAACAGAACACAGTGACTGAACACATGAGCCTAACAATTTGAGAATCAATTCAAGGAAAACAAAAAATAAAAAATCATGCGGACCTATCATATCTACATAGAAGACAAAAATACCAATAAAATATTGAGCATTAGAAAATGGTGGTTATTCCTGACTTTTCATTCTTTTTTTTTTTTCATTCTTTGTACTTGAAGTTTTTATGGGTAAGTCAAAGTGACGACATGGAACAAAGTTTTAGATGATTCTGTCCCAGGATTAATTTTTTAAGAAGCATGGTTTGATAAAGCTTTTTCTAGTTTCTGTATGTCTGGTCATATCACTAAATCTAATCCTACCCTTGGGCCGGGTGCGGTGACTCAGGCCTGTAATTCCAGCACTTTGGGAGGCTGAGGCAGATGGATCACTTGAGGTCAGGGGCTGAAGACCAGCCTGGGGAACATGGTGAAACCCAGTTTCTACTTAAAATACAAAAATAAGCCAGGTGTGGTGGCACATACCTGTAATCCCAGCTACTCGGTAGGCTGAGGCAGGAGAATTGCTTGAGCCCGGGAGGCGGAGGTTGTAGTGAGCCTAGATCATGCCATTGCACTGCAGCCTGCACAATAGAGGGAGATTCCACCCCTCCCCCACCAAAAAAGAAATATGCCAGGAGCTGTGGCTCATGCCTGTAATCCCAGGACTTTGAGAGGTTGAGCTGGGTGGATCATGAGGTCAGGAGCTCAAGACCAGCCTGACTAACATGGTGAAACTCTGTCTCTACCAAAAATACAAAACTTAGCCAGGTGTGGTGGCACATGCCTGTAATCCTAGCTATTCGGGAGGTGGAGGCAGGAGAATCACTTGAACCAGGGAGGTGGAGTTTGCAGTGAGCCAAGATTGCACCACTGCACTTCAGCCTGGGCGACAGAGCAAGACTCTGTCTCAAAAAAAAAAAAATATATATATATATATCCTACCCTTGACTGCAGAACCAATAATGCTTTAGGGCCTCAGTTTTATCCCTACCCACTTAACCTCTCATAATTTGGCTTCTTTTATATTTCTGAAACTACATTCTCCATTGATCTTATCTTCATTCGTCTTGATTTTCTTCAGCCATAACTCACCTCCCTAAAAACCTAAGTTCACATATTTTTAGAGGAGCATCTTAATTTTATGATCTCATACTGATTATTCATCTTTCTTTTTAGCTTTTTACCAGTGATCTCAGGTCATTATGTTAGAAAAAACTCCTGAAAACCAGAACTCAACCTTTTGCTCTATAACCTCCTACATCTGAGACTTCATGTGACTCTGTTTTCCTTGTATATATCTTTCCTTGATAGCTTAAATTATTTTTTTCTCTATAATTATTGCACTGCCTGACTTATCCTCACAGCTATAGACTACATTTCCATCTGCCTGGTGAACATCTCTACCTGAAAATCCTGTTATCCCATGTCACAAGGGACTTCACTGACACGAGGACTATTATGACAGGCTCTGCAGAGGAAATTTTATTCAAGGCCATGATAAATACAAATTCTTAATAGAACATCTTTTCTTTTTCTTTTTTTTTAATTTTACTTTAAGTTCTGGGGTACACATGCAGATCTTGCAGGACTGTTACATAGATATACACATGTCATGGTGTTTTGCTGCCTCTGTCCCCACATCACCTACATTAGGTTTCTCCTAATATTATCCCTCCCCAATCTCCCTTAGCCCCCCACCCCCTAACAGACCCCAGTGTGTGATGTTCCCCTCCACATGTCCATGTGTTCTCATTGTTCAACACCCAATTATGAGTGAGAACATGCGGTGTTTGATTTTCTGTTCTTGTGTCAGTTTGCTGAGAATGATGGTTTCCAGATTCATCCATGTCCCTGCAAAGGACATGAACTCATCCTTTTTTATGGCTGCATAGTATACCATGGTGTATATGTGCCAATTTTTTTTATCCAGTCTATCATTGATGAACATTTGGGTTGGTTCCAAATCTTTGCTGTTGTAAACAGTGCCACAATGAACATACATGTGCATGTGTCTTTATAATATAACAATTTATGGGGAATCCTTTGGGTATATACTCAGTAATGGAATTGCTGGGTCAAATGGTATTTCTATTTCTAGATCTTTGAGGAATCACCACACTGTCTTCCACAATGGTTAAACTAATTTACACTCCCACCAACAGTGGAAAAGCATTCCTGTTTCTCCACATCCTCTCCAGCATCTGTTGCCTCCAGATTTTTTAATGATCACCATTCTAACTGGCTTGAGATGGGATCTCAATGTGGTTTTCATTTGCAATTCTCTAGTCACCAGTGATGATGAGCATTTTTTCATGTTTGTTGGTGACATAAATGTCTTCTTTTGAAAAGCATCTGTTCATATCCTTTGCCCACTTTTTGATGGGTTTGTTTTTTTCTTATGTATTTGCTTTAGTTTTTTGTAGATTCTGCATATTAGCCCTTTGTCATATGTGCAGATTGCAAAAACTTTTTCCCATTCTGTTGATTGCCAGTTCACTCTAATGATAGTTTCTTTTGCTGTGCAGAAGCTCTTAAGTTTAATTAGATCCCATTTGTCTATTTTGGCTTTTGTTGACATTGCTTTTAGTGTTTTAGTCATGAAGGCCTTGCCTATGCCTATGTCCTAAATGGTATTGCATAGGTTTTCTTCTAGGGTTTTTATAGTCTTAGGTGTTATGTTTAAATCTTTAATCCATCTGGAGTTAATTTTTGTGTAATGTGTAAGGAAGGGGTCCAGTTTCAGCTTTCTGCACACAGCTAGCCAGTTTTCCCAACATCATTTATTAAACAGGGGATTCTACCCCCATTGTCAGGTTTGTCAAAGATCAGATGGTTGTAGGTGTGTTGCATTACTTCCAAGGCCTTTGTTCTGTTCCATTGGTCGATATCTGTTTTGTTATCAGTACCATGCTGTTTTGATTACTGTAGCCTTGTAGTATAATTTGAAGTCAGGTATACTGGCCTCCAGCTTTGTTCTTTTTGCTTAGGATTGTCTTGGCTATGCAGGCTTTTTTTTTTTTTTTTTTTTTTGGTTCCATGTAAAGTTTAAGGTGGTTTTCTCCAGTTCTGTAAAGAAGGTCAATGGTAGTTTGATGGGGATAGCATTGAATCTATAAATTACTTTGGGCAGTATGGCCATTTTCATGATATTCATTCTTCCTAACCATGAGCATGGAATGTTTCTCCATCTGTTTGTGTCCTGCCTTATTTTCTTGAGCAGTGGCTTGCAGTTCTCCTTGAAAAGGTCCTTCACATCCCTTGTTAGTTGTATTCCTAGGTATTTTATTCTTTGTAGCAATTGTGAATGGGAGTTCACTCATGATTTGGCTCTCTGTTTGTCTGTTATTGGTGTATAGGAATGTTTGTTATTTTTCTGCGCATTGATTTTGTACCCTGAGACTTTGCTGAAGTTGCTTATCAGCTTAAGGAGATTTTGGGACTAAGACGATGGGGTCTTCTAAATATACAGTCATGTTGCCTGTAAATAGAGACAATTTAATTTCCTCTTTTCTTAACTGAATACCCTTTATATCTTTTTCTTGCCTGATTGCTCTGGCTAGAACTTCCAATTGTCTAGCGCCAGATTTCAAAGGGAATGCTTCCAGTTTTTGCCCATTCAGTATGATATCGGCTGTTGGTTTGTCATAAATAGCTTTTATTATTTTGAGATACATTCCTTCAATAACTAGTTTATCGAGAGTTTTTAGCATAAAGGGCTGTTGAATTTTGTCAAAGGTCTTCTCTGCATCTGTTGAGATAATCATGTGGTTTTTGTCTTTGGCTCTGTTTATGTGGTGAATTACGTTTATAGACTTGCATATGTTGAACCAGCCTTGCATCCCCGGGATG